ATTTTCGGCCATTCGGGGCATTTTGATTGGAGGAATTGAAGGTTCTCGGCCAATCTGCTTGAGTTTAATTTTTAATTTTATTAATTTTATTTTCTGTTATTTTATTTATTCAGGGGTACATAAGGCTTACTCGACTGTGGTGAATGGTTACTTAGACCCTTAATCAACCTGGTCCAGCAGTACGGAGTACAGAGTAGTACATTCCTGAAACCATTTCCTTATTGGACCCTATACATGATACACGTCCCATGCAAGGGGATATCTCCCGTGTTTGAACTGCAGATCATTTCAATCCTCCGATAAACCCCAACGCCAAAACTAAAAACGGGTATGACCAACGCCAAATACACTTCCAGTCCAAACCTAAGACATCAGCCCAAAAAAGACCCAAGGCAACCCAATATAATATAATATCCAAGGCATCAGCCGCGCACAGGCAAAATATTCACGTCAAAATACTCCGAATCAGGCGCCAGTCGACCAACCACACACCGCATACTAGGCAAAACATCCAACGTCCCCTTCTCAACAGCCCAATGATGTTCCGCCAGATGCGCCATAAAGATATCCAGATTCCCATAAACCTGCGTCGAGCCCTGTGCCATCGCACAGCAAAAGACACAACAAAACGTGCCGCGGGGAGTATTAGGAGCAAAATGCGCCGCTGGGTCCCTCTTACAAGGCACGTGTGATTTCGCCAAGAACTCGAATCGATAGCGAATACCGCTGGCTTTGTGCGTCCGCACGCTTTCCTCGAATTGCGGGTTGTGACTGGAACTCTTAGGGGCCATGGGTGCTTCAAACGCGCACTTGGTGCATCGCAGCCATGACTGTTGCGTGTAATAACCGGTTCCGGGCTCCGAGTAGATTTTGAATCCCCGGAATCCCGTGTGCACTTTCCACGCTCCTTTGCAGAATCCCAGGTAGTTGTTCGTTTTGCTGGGTGGCCAGAGAGGTCGGATTGCTTGCATTGCTCTGTCTGTGCTGCTTCGGGTGGAAGGGTTCGACGTGTTTGAGTCGGTTGAGGCGGTCGAGGTTGCGGAGAGGGAATCTTGGCGGCCTTGTGTAGGTGGGGAGATCGGCGAGAGGAGGTGGTTTTCTTCTTTGATTGGAGCGTGGCTGATGGCGTCGTCGGAGTCGGAGTCTGCGAGGCTTTCTTGCTTCCACGGGTTGCCCCAATACACGTCGTGGGGTATCGAGCTTGATCGCAGCTTGGGTCTGCGGGGCGTGGCTGGTCTGATATCAAGTTGCGGAATCTGCCGTGGCGTCGACGGCGACACTTCATTGTTTACTCCGGGCTGTGGTAGGTAAGAAGGCTCGGGTGCTGACGATGGGAATGACGGTGTACTCCAACGACCTGGGCTGGGATGGAAGAAGTCGCCCATACTACTCACAACTGACCCAATGCCCGATGATCGTGTGCGAGGTCTTGGATTGGCAGCCTCTCTCTCTATCGGTGGCCCCGGTGGCCCCGGTGGCCCCGGTGTCTCCGTCGGTGAGGCGCAGACGACCTCCTGTAGGAACTGGCCTTGTGGATAACTGCCTGGTGAGACAGGATATCTGCCAGAGGTGTACCCTATCTCCGACGTGTGGAATGGCAGGTATCTGTCCGGACCGTTAGGGGAATGTCCATGGCCATACAAATTCATCCCACGATAGGTTGAATCGATGGACATCGAAAAAGACGACGGAACAGAGGGCGGCCTCGAGAGACGCTGGTATAAATCTCCCAAGATGAGTATAGTGCGAGCGCGACCCTGCTCGGACTCTATCTGCAACGCCATCAGATCCAAAGTGGTCCCCCGCTCCTGCGCCTCGCGAAGGTGTCTCAGCAATGCCCCTTGCAATTTGATGATGATATCTTTCATCTGCTCACGAGCGATCGAGTCACCTTCCTCGTATCGCCAGCCAAGCTCTTGACGATGTTGATCGAATCGAGATTGAATCTCAGTACGGCCGCGTGCGAGCGACCGTTCTAGTTCCCGGGTGGACTGGCGCTCGTGGTATTTCTTCCTAATGGCAGTAAACATCCTCACACCGTCACCGTAGGCGGAGACGACTGTTTGCCGATTTGGGTTTGTTAATCTCATCTATTGACAATAAGACAGGATATGGCCTTACTAGCTGCCACACAGGCTACGACCGCGATCACCTCCACCCCCGACATGGTGAGTGAGATGGAATTAGGGATTTATGGGGCTGAGGGGTCGAATACGAGCACCGTCGGTTTGGTATCAAAGAAGAGAGCAGTAAAGAATAGATGAAATTCTTGGATATAAAACAAAAGCTTAGAGATAAGAAAGGAGAGGACAAATGCCCAGCAAAGGGACGCAGTTGGCAAAAGAAATTTGTTGGCCCAAAATTGTGACGCAGGCATGGACTTGTAATTCGACAGGTCCCTCTGATAGCAAAAGCACAGTCCACCTGGGAAGTTCTCTTCGATTGGCCCCGTGGACTCTTTGACCAATTGGGAAAGGAAATCCTCCGGTGTAAGCGAAATGAGGGGGTTCAGCCTCGGAGGTGAGAGTGCCCGTATCATCAGGTGAACTACATAATCTTGTTTCCTATTAGTATGGTGATATGGTAAAAAATATCCATGGCCAAAAAGATACACAGGTTTATAGCAGCATAATAGTGCAAATCAGTGGTGATCGGATCCACCGACTCCACCGATTCATAGAGACGATCCTCTCAAGTATATCGATTATTGCATATGGCGTCCTTATTGAACAAACGAACAGTATCTTCATTCATGCTTAGCTGACCAAAAGGGGAAAAAAAACAAGGCCGCCTAACCAATCCAAGCCCTAACTACACTATTCTAACCCATAATCCATATAAATCCGTACATAATCAAACAAACAGTACAAAAGCGACGCTGGCTCAAATGCAAAGATAAAAAAAAAAGCAAAGTATCCCAGCCCCCGTTCAAGCCAATTATCAACAACATCGCCCCTTATTGCGCGACGCACGCATAACACGCTCCTCCTCAGCACCAGCGACATTAACACCAGGTGCTGCCAAACCCAGCCAACTCCTCCTCTTATCACCATGACCGAGCCGGAAACTCCCAGTGCCCTCCACAACCCCAGGATTAAAAGGCCCAACGACCCCGTTCGCCATGGGCGTACCGGCAATCGACAAGGCCAGCTCAGTATCCCGCCGATTGCGCTGCTCAACCAGCTTACGCGTGATGACACGGAAAACCTCATCGATTCCCTCGCCATCCCGCGCGCTGATCTCATGGCAGCAATCCCACCCAATCTCCTGCCCCCAGAATGCCGAACTGCGCTTCGAGTCCGGACTCTGTAGTGCTGCGGCGCTAGCGCTGGCGTTCGATGCGCTGCCACCACTCCCGCCAAAGACAGATGTTCCAAAGCCTAGCCCGCCCATGCCTGCTGTTGCAGTTGGTGGCGGGGTAGAGGCTTGGGTTGGGTACAGTTGTTCAGCGACGTATGCAATTGTGCGCTCGAAGGGGACGCGGCGGCGGGAGGGATCGTCGGCGACAATGTCGGATTTTGTACCTACGACATGGATGATGAGGGAATCTGTTCCGTCATCGTTGGGTGTGATGTTCTTGCGGAGTTCGCGTAGCCAGCCGGCCATTTCTTGGAAGCTGTTTTGGTCAGTGATCTGTGTAGCCAGTTAGTATTAATGTCCTATGTAGTTCATTTAATGGTGTAGGTTGCACATGTATAGGCAACAAATACAAACGCAGGCAAAGTGAATGAAGAGGGGAAATGGAGTGGAAGTGGATGCACTGACATCATAGCACAGGAGCACTGCTTGCGCTCCTCTATAGTAGAGTCTCGACATGCTGCGAAACCTCTCCTGTCCAGCTGTGTCCCATATCTGTAATCTGACTATTGTATCGGAGGTGGAATCAAGAACGCGCTTCGTTACGAACGACGCGCCGATGGTTGAAGCCGCTGCGGGGTTGAAGGTGTTTTTACAGTATCTCTCCACGAGCGCGGTCTTTCCCACCCCTGGTCGTCATTAAGGTTAGTACACTGTTTAGTTGAGTTCCCAATCTGGGGTATATAGATTGGAAACTTCATTCCACAGACAACATACCCTGTGCTCCGAGCACAACAATCTTAGCTTCAAGGCTTGAACTCATGTTTCCCCGAGGTTGAGGAAGCGGGGGTCAAGGTTTTGTATTCGCATTATATGTTCACAGAAGCCAAATTCTTTGACAACCCACGCGAAAGGAAGTGATCAGATCAAAGGGAGATTTGAAGGAGAAATGAAAGAAAAGAAAAGCTGTGGATGTTCCGGGCGGTATCAGCCGATGGCTTCTGATTCACGAGGTCACTCAGCTGCACGTGTCTTGGATAGCAAAAGAAGAAGGGCGAAAAATAAAAAAAGGAAAGAAAGGGTTCAACTTCCTACAAACCGACTATTTTATCTTCCATGCAGTTGAGTGCTAACCTGAGATTCAAGGCATATATACATGTGAACAAAGGGCTGTGTGAAAGTCAAACTGTCAGCCTGCTAATTAATAAATTTTACATACTTGATTGGTTTGCTCTTGACGCGATCATACCCGTGATTATACTCGTGATTCTAGGTTTAATTTTTGAGCACTATGAATGGTCCCTTGCTCTGGGGTCTATCAGCCTCATGCAAGGCAGCACCCGCATGAGTCATTTATTAAACTCAACCCTAATGCGGCAGGTTTGACGTTGGCACATGTAGGGACATCTATAGAGTATAGGTTTTACAATGGAAAAGGTAAATGTAATGCGTTTCTCCTCTAGTGGTATCATGCAAGGCGCACGTATATGAAGCTGGCAATTCCCATGCCCGACCGGACCATTTTCAGAGCTCATTATCAAAAAAAAAAAAAAAAAAAAAAAAAAAAAC